AGAAAGACTCAAGACATAGCAGCAGCAGCAACAACAACAACAGCAGCAGCATCAGTTTGGAGATTTCTTCTTATTTTTCTTTATTTGCTTCTTTTGTTGTTGCTGTTGTTGTTTAATCTCTAATATCCTTCTGTGGGGTTTTCCTTGCCATTGCTGTTTTTATTAGTCGCCTTTATTGCATCCCTCTATTTATTATTTTTATTTTATTTCTTCTTCTTCCTCTTCTCCTTCTTACACACTTTCCTTTTGCTTCTTTTCCTTCCTGCTGCACTCATCTGCAGCAGCGCCGCACGGTCTTAGTGCTCCATCATCATCATCATCATCATCATCAGCTGCTGCTGCTGCTGCTGCTGCTGCTGCTGCTTCTTTTCTTTAGCTTTAGAGAATCCTACCGGCAATGGATTCGCCATCCTCTGCATCGGAGGCGTACGACGCCTCCACTCCTCGTCAGCAGCAGCAGCAGCAGGAAGACAGACAGCAGCAGCAGCAAGGCAACAGGACCAGCCCAGGAACGACTCTGCAGTCTGCAGATGCAGCGCGGGTATGCATGGATCCTTCGGATATGGAGGCAGCAGCAGCAGCAGCAGCCGACGCAGCAGACGCTGCAGCAGCAGAAGCAGCAGCAGCAGCAGAATATAACGGAGAAGAGGAGAGGGATAAAACAATTAAACATAAAAGACAGTCATTAGTTAGTGTACGCACTAAATCCCCACAGAAACGCCAACAGCAGCAGCAGCAGCAGCAGCAAACGCAGCAGCAGCAGCAGCAGCAGGAACCGCAGACGGACCTTCTACCGCAAAAGGCGGTAGAGGACGAGGGTTTCTATGAGGACAAACAAGAGCAGCAGCAGCAACAGCAACAGCAACAACAGCAGCAGCAGCAGCAGCAGCAGCAATTGAAGGCAGAGTTAGTATGTGCAGCAGCAGCACATATTGGCAGCAAAGGAGAAAAAGGATTCCCTTTGCTGCACCCATTAGGAGACAGCTGCTGCTGCAGTCCTATTGTCTCTACTGCAGCAACAGCTGTTCCCTCAACAATAGGGGAGGCAGAAGAAGCAGCAGCAGCAGCAGCAGCGGAAGCAGCAGCAGCAGAAGAAACACCAGCAGCAGCAGCATCAGCAGCAGCAGCAGTTGCTGCAGAAGTTGCAGCAGCAAAAGTTAATTCGTTGTTGTTTCCCCTCAAGCAGGAGGTCTGGACACAAACTAACCAGCAGCAGCAGGAGGAAGAGCAGCAGCAGCAGCAGCAGCAGCAAGACGTGCAAACCCAGCTGGATACACAGTGCCTCAAGGCTGAGAAGACACACAAACAAGTCTTGTATCAGCAGCAGCAGCAGCAGCAACAGCAGCAGCAGCAGTCATGGAGAGGCGTTATAGGAAGAGCAGCAGAAAAGACACAGCAGCAGCTGCGTGTGCTGCTGCAGCTGCTGCTGCAGCACCCAGCACTTCTATCTGCTGTTCCTTCTTTGCTGCTAGCAGGAGTACCAATTGCCACGGGCTCGCTCTGTCTTATTGCTGCAAGCTTCCTACCAGTAGGGTTTAGGGTTTAGGGTTTAGGGTTTGGGATTTGGGGTTGGAGATGTGGGGTTTACGTCCTGTAGTTTGTCTGGCAAGGGTTTAGGGTTTAGGGTTTAGGGATGGAGCTGGGAGGTTTAGTGGTTTCATCTTGTTGGGCAAGGGTTTAGGGTTTAGGGTTTAGGGTTTAGGGTTTGTGTGTATTGCAGCTCTGCGGGTTGTTGCCAGTTTGTCTTGGGGTTTATTTCTTATGGAAAAGGAGAGGAGAGGTGCAACAGGTAACTCATAAACCCTAAACCCTAAACCCTAATTTAGGGTTTAAGGAAGAGAGCTATATGGTAGTATGAGGTTGAGGCATACACGATCTAGGGTTTAGGGTTTAGGGTTTAGGGTTTATGGGTTTGGCTGTATGCAGGGAGAGAGCAAATGGCATCGATTTGGTGCTACTGCAGCAGTGCTGCTGCTGCCGCTGCTGCTGCTTCCTGCTGCTGCATTTGTTGCTGCTGGGGCGCTGCTGCTGCTGCTGCTGCTGCCCCTCCTTGGTATTATCATCCCTCTAGGGCTTATCTGCAGTCTTCCCCTGGCGGTAAACCCTAAACCCTAAACCCTCTAAACCCTAAACCCTCTAAACCCTAAACCCATTAAACCCTAAACCCTAGAGAATAAAAGAATTATATTTAATTATTTTATTATTTATTTTTTCTTGCTGCTGCTTGCTTCCTCTGCTGCTGCAGGCAACAGCAACAGGACTTTTGCTGCTGCTCTCCTTCCTATGGCAACCCAAGCCACATATTCTAGACTCTAAACCCTAAACCCTAAACCCTAAACCCTAAACCCTAATATTGTTTGAAGAAATGCTTGATAAACCCTCAGGCTTTTATTTAGTGTTTATTAATTATACTGCAGCAACGTACACCATTTTTATCTATTTATGTTTATTTATTTATGTATAGTATATATATATAATATATATATAATATATATTATAT